TGGACTCATCTGTAAACAGTCTGGTAAATAATAACTTACAAATACTAAGTGTCCAATAATGCCAGGCTGCTAATAGCCCCCCTGTTAAAATCCAGTTTGATGGGGTCTTTTTAAAATTTCTTGAGAGGTGAATGCCTTGGTAATGAACATCTTAATGTTAGATTGGCCCTGTGCTTGAGGTTTTTATTTAAATGCAAATTGAATCCTCCCACCGGAAAGCTAACAGGAGATTAAAATAGCTGGTAGGGGATGAGAATTTGCTTTATGTAGAGTCATTTGACTCAACTTCTCGTTGATTTCCTCATTTTTCTTATTTTATGGCTCAAGCTGCTTTAAAATGGTTTCCTATCTCAGCCAGCATAAGCTAGCAGCAAGAATAAACCTTGTCTGGATCGCTACGGGGCTGAACTTGAGGTCAACACTGAGGGGCTTTTGCAAGCCAGGGCTCAACTTGAAGCCACCTCTGGTGACTGTCACTGGTCCAGGCTGCAGGGAAGTGGCCACCGGAGGAGCGAGTCCCTTCTGACATGAAACCACGAGCCTCTCCAGCTCTGGAAGTTCTGTAGGTTCAAAGGCTGTTGAGTGCTTGAGCACCTGATGCTGATGCTCAGGTACTGGCAGTGACCCAAGTCATTCGTGCTCTCAGCTCCGCATCGGTGCGGAGAACTGGATGAGCACAACGCTGAAAGGAGCAGAAATCCCTGGGGGTGTCAGGGACTTCCAGAGCTCAGGGCGTTCCTGAAGGATTAGAAACATCTGCTGGGCTGAACTGCAAATGCATCTCTGGGGAGAAACGTTGAAGCTCGATGGAAGATGCACTGAAAGGATCTTTCTCGTGGCTTTTGCTTAGAATTTATTTTTCTGCGGTTATTCTGCAGCACTTTTAGGAGAAGGGTAGAGAAGCAGGTCAGGGAAGGGAAAAGCTGGGAACCAGGGGCCCAAAGGGCCCTGCGACCCACCGCAGCCCCGGAGCTGAGCCTGCTCTTTATGGGATGCCCGGAGCCAGAGTTGCAGCGAGCAGAATCTGGGGGGGGTTGCTGCTGCCTGAATTGCCCCTGCTCTGCCCTTGTGTTCCCCACGGTGGGTGCCTGGTGTGTGTGCGTGGGGGGGGTGTGCATGTCCATCAGATGCGCACACCAGTGCCGGATGGGGTCCACCAGCTCCCAGCCACGACTGGGACCCAGCCTGGGGCAGAGCCCCAGCCCTTCCCAGAGCGGGTCCCACCGCGGCAGCACAGTTGGGTCTCAGCCTCAGCTCTTACTCCCCTATTTCGGTCCGTCTATCTCCCTCTTTTAGGAGTTTTGTTTTTGCAGGCAGGGAGGGCGGGCGGGGGGAGAGCCGCCGTTACAGAACATCCTGTGCAAGCGTGGGGAGCCATAAAAGGCTTAAGTATGGGTCTGATAATGCAGTGTGTACACACACACACACACACACACACTCCCCCGGCTGCCGGCAGCGAGGAAAAGACCAGATGGGGAAACACTCTTCCTCTTAATTGTCCTACATCTCCGGGAGGGTGAAGATTAGGGCTGCTGGATTTATGTTGATTTTTTTTTTTTTTTTTTTCATCTCCTCTCCTTGCATCCCTCCCACGCAGCCCTCCCAGCCCCGGCTGCTCCTGTCGCTGCTCCCGTCCCCCCTCGCCAGCGCTGCGGGGTGCAGGGAGGGACAGAGGGTGCAGGAGGGAGCCGGGGAGGACGAGGGGATGCTCTGCGAGCGCCAAGGATTGGGGTGTTGAAGTTGAAGAGCGTTTTGAGCAGAGAGCCATGCTCCACCTGGACTCAGCACGGCTTCCCGGGAGCTGTGAGTACATCCGTGCCTCCCGAGCTCCCCTGGCAGGAGGGAGGGAGTTTCTCACTGGGGGTCAGCGGGTTACTGGGGGGGGATGCTTCAGAGGAGGACGGCTTTCTTGCAGTGTCAGGCCAAGCTTTTAATGAGCAACTAGAAGCAAAGCTTTGAGTTTGTGTTTCCCTCCCCAAAAGTGGGTTAAGGAGGATGTTTCTTCCTTTTTTTTTTTTTTTTTTTTTTTTTTTTTTTTTTTTTTTTTTTTCTTTCTCTTTTTCTACCCCCCTGCTAGTCCCTAAATCCCATATTTTCAGCCTCTTTCCCAGACCAGGCCCTGGCATCTCAGGCTGGAGGCAGCAATGGGTGTGAGCCATGAGCCACCCCCAGCTGAGATCTGACCCAAGCTCTTTACATTCCCTCCGGAGGGATACAGCCTAAATACAGAGTAACAGGAGCTTTATAAACATAACCAGTGAGACTGCAGGGCTTGAAACCGACCTTCTGTATTTGACCTGTGCAAAAGAGAAGCTGTTTGTGCAGAGAGCAGAGGCAGCCTTTCGGGGGCAAGGGGAGGAGATGGAGGATGCTGCTGGGAGTTGGGCTAGGGAGAGGGTACCCTTCAGTCTTGCAGGTGGGTTATCTTTTATCTCGGTGAAATTCTAACTCTCTCTCTCTCTCCAAACTGTGATGTGAATAAATATTTGTTTTGCTGATTCTTCAGCCCACCCAGGAAAACAGGATGGTCCGGGCTCTTTCCCTGCGCTAATAAGTGCCAAAAAATGAAACCTCTTTTCTCCCTGTCCCGTAGCCTGCTAAAGCTCCTGGCATCCTTCTGATGCACAACTGCTGTGCTGTTAGCCGTGGAATATTTCCTCCATGACCTCTCTGCCTTCCTCCTATTAGCAACCTCAGGATATTGCATTTGGCTTGATGAGGCTGGAAATGATCTCGAGGGACTGGTAATGGGGGGAAGGGGTGAAGCTGGGGAGGAGGTCAGATCGGTCACAGCCTGCTGTCTTCGCCTTCAAACTGCACCTACGTATGTCTGCAAAGAGAGATGCTCAGAAACAGAAGGAATGAAACGAGCTGCTTGTGAGTGCTGCTGCTTTTTCTTTGCTTGGTACAATTAATTCTTTTATAATTGCAATGCTTTTTCTCATTCCTTGTAACTAAACAATCTTTTTTGCCAGCTGGGTAATTTGCAGAGAAAGGAAGGGAACTAGTGGATTTTTTTTGTTGTTATTTTTCTGGGTAGCTGTTACTATGGCAAGGAAACTTGATTCAATGTGAAGAGAGGTCAGAAATACCAGACTGAAAATTTCGTGCATGTTCTGTTTAAAGCCTCAGCTGCCAGGGTTTAAGGGAGGGAGAAGTAAAGGCACCGGAGTCCCCAGTTTTCAAAGGCTTTTTTAAAGCATTTTCTGCTTAAAAGTTGGAGTTACTTGAAAACTTAGACTTGGTATTACATGACCTTGTGAGCTAGGACTATATAACAGTCAAAGCTTATAGAAAGGCTGTCTGTATCTTGTTCTGAGTGTGGGTAAGGAATGAGAATGAGTGTTTGGGACAGGAGCTGAGGCCTCTCCTGTGCTGGGGACGTTACAAAGGTGCCAGACTTTTCCAAAGACCCTGATCCCATGAAGAACCTCAAATAAGTAGTGAGGATTTGGAGAGCCCTGTCTGTGGGGGTGCTGAGCTCTCTGGACTACTGTACAAAGGGATTTTGGGGTGCTGGGCTCTGAAAAAGCTGTTGTTCATTGGGCGGCAGAGAAGTGAGCCTTCTCCCTGGAGAAGGAGGGATTTATGGGTCCCTTCTGGGTGCTGAGCAGGGAGAAATGTGGACTTAATGCTTCCTGGAAAAATCTGCCCCCAGGAACATTGCTTCTTGTTGGCTGTATCTGCTGAAATAAGGATGTTTTTTTTTTTTCTTTACAGCAAAGGTTGGTACCTGAGCCCACAGGGACAGGGCCTCATCATGCTGTGCTAATGTTTATCTGACAGTGCAGAGGGTGGTTACACCATGACATTTATATGCTTCTAAGAGGAAAAGCAGCTCACTTCAATTACAGTGATTACTGGGGAGGTTTAGGTACTCCCACATCTGAAACTTTTTCAATATGTTATTTGAGATGCACTGTATCCTGCTAACTTCCAGCGTAGGTGAAAACAGCATAAAGAAAATTATCACCATGTTTACCCTCCTTTCTCATCGCTTGCTGTTTTTTGTTTTGGTAAATCCCTGCCTCTAGCCAATATGGGATGTTTCTGTGATATCAAGAGGCTCTAGCTGATGCCTGTGGGTTTTTGAGGAGGGGCAGATGTGGGGTCCCTGCCTGTTCTGTTCCCAGCTGACCTGGGAGCAAGCGGCTTCCCTGCTTGGGTGAATTGAGCACCCAGCCCTGGGGAGAGCAGGTACGAAGGTCCCAGGAGAGTCTGGCTGTGCGAGGTGTGCCTGGGCCTTGGGCACAGCATCCCGGACCCCGCATCTCTCCCCTTCTCCCTCTCTGCCCCTCGGAGCAGCCGAGCAGTGTTGGGTGGTCTGGGGGTTACACTGGGAGCAGAAGAGCTGGGCCACAGGGGACTGGCACTTCCCAGGGGCTGGTCCCTTCTCCAAACCGTGTGTTGGATCCTGTGCCTGGAACAGCACCAGGAAAGCACCCGAGTGTTGCTGTAATTTGGATTTGCACTGGGAAGGAGAGTCAGGAGCAGGCAGGGGAGAGCTGGGCTGTGCCTGACAACCCTCCTTGGCAGCGGGTGAAATTCCTGGGGATCTCCTCTCTGTGTCCCCCCCTCCTGGCCTCGTACCACGACCGTTCCTTGGGACAGAAACGGGTTCCCTGCACTGAATCATCTCCTTTTAGCTGTCTTCATCGAGTCTGTGCTGTGTCATCTCTCCCTGCTCTTTATTTAATAGAGTGCAGGCAGCCAAGACGGAGCTGAAACAAAGCTGCTTCACTCCTGCCTGGTGCTGAGGAGCAGGAGCTGTGATTTCTTTCTGGTTTTTGTGTGCTATTTCCAGCATATTGTTGCCCCTGTTCCTGCCTCTTCTGTGACGCCTGTCCCCAGAGCAGCAGGAATTGTTAGTGCTCTGGCTAGTGGTGCTGGCTGGATGTCAGGCTGTTTTCAGCTCAGCTTTGCAGACCCTGTTCTCGTGTTGGCTGGCACACGGCAGGACTGCCCTGTGCTTATCTGGCGTGACATTTCGGTGAGTACAAGAGATTTTTCTCTGAAGGCAGTGGTTTATCTAATAGGCTTCTCTGTCAGGCTGGTGGCTGTCTGCATCTCTGTTTTAACCTGCTCCCGGTGACAGGGAGGAACGTGTGGGCAGCTGGCAGTTGGTAGGTGATATGGGGAGCAGCGATGTCCTGGGAGCACAGCTCCTGATGGGGCTGTGACAGGCGTCCTGGCTCTGACCCCCTCCCCAGATCCGGTGATGGAAATCTGGGTTCACACCACTGAAGTCAGCGAAGCGGAGCGTCAGCTGGATATGGCTCAAGTGAAGGCGTGATGGGATGCCAGGAAGAAGCGTGGTGGTCTCCTGGATCTTTGTGGTATCCCTGGAATAAACTGCTCCTGAAGCGAGGGTTTGAGCGGGTGATGCGCTGTGAGGCACAGCAGTGATCTGCTGCTGGGGCTGCAAACGTGCTGGAGACTTTCATGGAACCCTAGAATGCTTTGGGTTGGAAGGGACGTTAAAGATCATCTAGTTCCAACCCCCCAGCCGGGGACACCTTCTATTAGACCAGGTTGACCAAAGCCCCATCCAACCTGGCCATGGGCACTTCCAGGAAGGGGGCAAATGCCCCTGCTTGTATTGATTTTTTTCAGAGCAAGTTGGACAAACACGGTACAGGATCAGTTTGTAGTGAGTTGTATCTGCCTCAGGCTGGGTGAGGATTTAGGGGGGTCTCTTTCTGTTTCTAGCCTGGGGTTCCTCCCAGGAGGGAGTGTGTGTGTGTTATGAGTAAGTGTGGCTGAGGCTGCGTACAGCGATGTCTTGGGGCTGGTTATCATCAGCATGAGCATTAAAAATAGAAGATTTTGGAGTATTTCCATGGCTTTTCATCTTGTGGAACCTTTTTGCACCTCCTTCAATTTGGAGAGGTGTATATGGGACCCCTTTTCACTCTGTGCTCAGGCAGCGGCACTGCAATGCAATATTTAGGGTAGTACCTAAGCTGAAAGAGCACCCTGATACCAGGAGGGTGGAGATTTTGGCTTCAGCTGGGCTGTGTGCTGGCCCTCTGTAGCTGAGGGAATTTCAAACCCGGAGCAGCAACACTTCTAAATCCTGGGGGGAGGCGAGATAGGAAGGAAAGCGAAAGCAGCTGCATTCGTCAGCACCAAGATCTCTCTCCACCGTTCAGCCCATCTCTCACTTTAATACCCACCAGCATCAAATCATTGCAGGTAATAAATGCCACTGTACCAGGAGCTCTCTCAAATGAGCCTGATGTAACCTGCGGGGTTAGGAACGGCCTCTCCTTGGAGGGAGCATCTGGGCATTACAGCGCAGGGAGCTCAGCCCCACGCACCCAGAGGTCCCCTGCACCCCCTTGGTGGGTGCTGTGGGGCTCTCCCTGCCCAGCCGTGCTCCGTAGCTGCTTGGCAAAGACCCTGGGGGAGCTGTTGTGGGGAGGGGTGGGTGCTGTGCTGCTTGCAGAGCTGTTGAAGCAGAGGGTTCTGTCCTGCAAGGGTAAGGGCTGGGCCCTGGAGCGGGCTCAGCACCGTGCCTGCCATCTCCTCTGATGGAAAAGCAATTACCATTCGTTTTGATTTTAATGTGGCCATTTAAGAAAAAAAAAGTTAATGTTTCCAATTTGTTTGGTATAATTAAGTGCTAATTCCCTCTGCCTGGGAGGAGAACATGGCTGCAGCACACGGAGTGTGTGTGGGGGTGGTTTGGTCAGCACATTTTGACAGCTCCCTGTTCCTACGGCGCAGCGCTGGTGTTGCTTTCTAGTGAGATTCAGGTGATGCTGGAGAGACAGAGACAAAGGGTGTGGGTACGGTGTTTCAGACTGACCTTGATTTTCTCTAAAGAGCATGAAAGAGAAGAATAGCAACTTATTTGTATGCCAAGGCAGCTGAATCCAGGCAGAGCTTTGCATTGCTGCTGTAGAGGGGGGTGACTCTCCAGATCTGCTGGTTCCTGCTGTCTGGGGCCACAGCTGGGCTGAATTTGCAGGTCTTTGCCCTGCCTGTTCTCATGAAGGACTTGCCCAGCACTTCACAGAAATACTCAGCCATCTCCAAGTGCTTTGAATCGCACTCTGTGTGTTGGTATGTCAAAAAAGAACTTTTAGGCAATTTTAGACAATGATGCTCAAGCTTTGGATAGCCTTAATGACAGCAGAGAAACTGGCACCAGCCGTGAGATTCTGCTTCTGTCACACACTTGAGTGATGCTGATTGTGTCTCATTCCAGGACTGCACTTTATAGTTGAAGAAATTTAGGCACCGGGCAGGAAAATGTCTTCTCGGAGGTCAGGATGCAAATCTGTCATGTTCCTGGAAATAGGAGCTGGCTCTGCTTTTCTAATTTGCTGGCCCATGCTGAATTTGTCCATGATAATAGATGAAGATTCACCTGGAAAGAAAATAAATTATTCATGAAAGCAATAGTCCAGGGCTGCTCAAACTGCCGAGGCAAAAATCCCGAAGCTGATCCCATTGTGGGCGATGATGCACATCAGGTGACGGGGGATTGGAGGGAGGGGAGAGCAGCAGCTGGTGATCTAGTCTGTTGTTGTTTGCCCTTTTCTCCTCAGCTGCTGGGAAGATGCAGAGCGTGGCTTGACTTGCTGCTGCTTTTTATTGTTGCTTTGTGTTGCTTTGTACTGCGGCCCCCACGGTGCTGGGGATGTGCGCATGTGCCCACGCTGGGTCCTGCTGCTGGAGGGTTACAGCCCAAGGAGTATTTATGGGTTTATTAATGACATTCTTCATGCAATAAATGATGTTTAGCTGACTACTGAAATTTATTTGGGAGAATAAGTTAAAATAAATAGCCCTGCTTGGATAGATTGGTTTTCATGACAGCTCAGACTTGTACATGAAGTGATTTTGATGAATCTCAGTCCAGTTGTCTGAGACCTCTTTCAACGGTGCTTTTCCATCACCCTCCTCTAATACACACATTTGGAGGAGATGCAGGAACTAACGCGATGGTGGAAACTGCTCTCCCCTTGAGCCCCGAGGCAGAGATGAGGAGTTTGTGGGGATGTTTGTACGTGTCTGGGATAACAGCAGACGCCCTGACTGTGGTCTGAGGGCCACCCCTGTCTCCCTGCTTACCCAGTGAACACAACAGGCGTGAATTTAAAGAAGAAATAATCTGGCATCCCCAGTATGCTGCATGCAGGATGAGTCTGGGGTACAGTAACAACAGCCCGTGTGCCTCTGCCCTGTGTGCAGCCGGCTGCACCCCAGGGCTTCTGCATCCAGGGGGATCTGCCGCACCGCTCCACGCTCTGGTCCCCAGAAAGCATCCGGACACCCACTCGGATCATCCGAAGTGACGGGTGGTGAAAGGCAGCTGTAGGTGGCTGTTGCTAAGCTACAGGCTCTGTCTGCTCCGGCTGTCAGAGGGCTCGGGGAGCCCAAGGGCTGTGGTCAGATCTGGGGAGTGAGTGCTGTGGCAGGGCAAGGCGGTGGGGTGCGGGGTGGAGGTGACCTGTTCCTGGATCAGGGAGTTTTGCAGAGCCCACTTGTTTACTCTCTGCTCCAGATGAAGCAGCAGGAAACAAGTCTGGTTCTCCTTTTTGGGAGAAGGGAGTGCATCCCCTAAGAAACCCAAAGGCTGTAACAGTTGGTTGTTTTATTTGTGGTTAGGTATCTTATGCAGGAGAGAGGAAGTTGGCTCTTTGCATCCCGCCCGACATCCACACTGCTGTATTGGAAATAAAAATAACCCCAGGCAGCAGATGGGCTGAGGCACCGGCCCTGGGCTGGGTGTCAGCCAGGAGGCAGAGAGGTGGGTCCAGGACCGAACCTTTTCAAACCACGGTGCACAGAAAAGCAGGGCCAGCCAGCCCTGCTCCGCTGCCGGGGAAGCTCTTTCCAGGGGCTCAGTGGGACCCCAGCACTCACGGGGAAAGGTCTCAGGAGTCTGTGCGTGGGGAGGAGAGGGAAGGGCGCTGCCCTGGGCCAGCGCAGTGCTCGGCCAGGAGTGTGTGGCCTTTGGGGATTTTTGGCAACTGCTCACTCTGTTCGACAGCCCTGTCTCCAAATGTTGGTGCAGGCAGTGTTTGCTGGAGGAGGCTGCAGTGCCTGCAAGGGTAAACATAAATCTTACTTTAAGGGCAATTGTGGAACAGCCCCAGTTGCACAGTAAAGGCAGAGATGCTTAGTGCAAAATGTACCTTATTCCATGTTGGGCGAGTGAGCAAACCACTGCCTTTGTTTCTTTCTGTTTGCCCTCTCTCTGTCCTCCTGTACTAATTAATCTCATCTGCACGCTTAACGGCCGTTCTGAGAGAGGAGATGAGAAAAAAACCCATGGGTTTCCAGTGAGAGCTTGTGCCTCTGCTCCCTGGGCTGCTCTCTGGATCCCGTACAGCTCCGGCACAGCCCGTGGGCCGGGGCCGGAGGGGCGAGTGCTGGCTTTCAGAGCAGGTCCTCCCCAGGGTCTGCAGGAGGATGTACAGAAGGATCAGGAGGATTAATCAGGTCAGAGAAGGAGGACACAAGGAAAAGTTCCCCAGCAGGCAGGAAAACAGCCGGGGAAGTGAGCAGACAGCTTGCAGCCTCCTCAGTTTGAATGTCGCTTGGGGGCGGGGATGCTCAGGAAACAGGATAACAAACTGACTCCAACCTCTCTTGCCTTTTTTTTTTTTTTTTTCTTTTTTCTCCTTTTTCTTTCTTTTCTTTTGTTTTATTTTTAGGATCGGTCTCTGCAAGAGCTTCTGAGGCAGATCTGGAACTGCAGGATTAATGGAGACGCAGTGAAAGGTACCGGTGGCTGCTGCTGTGTGCCGGGGGGTGGCCGAGGGGGACTGGGGGGCTGCGGGAGGCTGCCTGGTGTGGATGCTCCCATCCCTGCTCCACTCCTGGCTGCCAGCAGCTCTGCCAGGGGGAGGATACTGTTTGCACTTCGTGTTTCTCTGTTAATTTTTTTTTGTTTGTTCGTTTGTTTCCTCCCTGGCACTTCTCGGCTCTGTTTTGCAGCGTAGCCAGCCCCCTCCCGTGGGCCGGGCCCGATGCTGCCTCGCCGCGCCAGCCACCATGGAGCCAGCGAGTACCAAAGACTTCCAGTGGAAAACCCTCGCCCCACTCCCGAGCTGCAGGGTCTACTCGACCTTGGTGGAAGCTGGCGGGCAGGTGTTTGCCATCGGAGGCTGCGATGACAACGGTGTCCCCATGGACTGCTTCGAGGTCTACTCCCCCGAGGCTGACCAGTGGACCTCGCTGCCCCCCATGCCCACGGCCCGGGCGGGGGTGGCCGTGGCCACCTTGGGCAAGAGGATCATGGTGATAGGAGGGGTCGGAGTGAATCAGATGCCGCTGAAGATAGTGGAGATGTACAACATAGACGAGGGCAAGTGGAAGAAGAGGAACTCGCTGAGAGAGGCAGCCATGGGCATCTCGGTGACGGCGAAAGGCAAGGAGGGTTCAGTCCTTCCAGGACAGGGAGGGATGCCGGCGGGGTGGTGAGCTGGGGAGGGTCAGCATCAGCTAATGCATCAGGCACAAAGGGCAATGGCACAGGGTTATGTTGTTCTCCAAAACCTTTTCTGTGCGTCTAGAAGTTGAGCCCCATGTATTTGTCATACCCCACCTGCTAAAGACAAGCCTTCTGTAAGCAGCCAAAAGCAGATAAACCCAGGGGTTGCTCTGTATCATCAGCCCTGGAGCCACGGGGGCCATGGCTATGCTGGTACCCAGGGGTATTTCAGACAGGTCCAAGCTCCAGGGTCTCAGATCAAACTTCTCCAGAGTTTTGTAGCAAATTCTGGTCCTTGTGTGCTGCAGATGCTGCAAAAATAGAAATGGTGCCACTGGCTGGGTGTGGCCAGGCTGGGAGGACCTGGTTGTGCTCTGGAGCCAGAAGTGAAGATCTCAGAGCCACAGAATGGCTTTGGTTTGAAGAGACATCTCTGCTCCAAACCCAGAACCAGCTGGGAGAGAGTTGGCTTTGTGGTCACGGGCTCAAATCATTGTACAGGGAGGGGAAGCGGCTGGCTTTGTGGGGGGTTCCTGCATAGCTCCCTTCCGAAAGCTGAACCACTGCCTTAAATGGGGCTTGTTAAATGCCTGTGAGGCTCTGCCTTATCAGCCCATCTCATTTTTTAGTTACTAAGCAGAGGTATGGAGCATTGATTTCCTTCAGCCTGCTCTGCCGTGCTTTGAAGAGCCTGAGGATGGGAACTGTGTTCCCAAACAGTGTGCCTGAGGTCAGCCAGCTTCCCGCCGTGCCTGGGATTATGAATCTAATCTCCAGACAGCTTCTTTGAAAGTTGCTTGGTTTGTTTGTTTAAGTGGGTTTAAAAGCTACCGTCAGGGAATGTTTAAAAATAATGTTTACCATCTTGGAGATGATTTTCTCTCTGAGTATAAGCCTGCCTGACTGATACGGCAGGGTCAATTTGGTGTGAGAGGCCAGGAATAGAAATAGTTGCCCAAATCCTTGCAGGCTGGTCTCTGCTTTTTCAGCTGCCTTGTAGGGCTGCCTGCAAGGGCAAGGCTGCTATCACTGCTCTCCTGAATCCTGTCTGTGGAGTGAAGTGTTGTTGAAGGAGATAATGTGGATGCTGTGCGCTCAGGGTTTTGTTTTGGAGAGCCAGGTTTGCCGTTAGCCAGAGATAGATATAGCTGATGCAGATTTGGTGAGGAACAAGTAGCCTCCACGCTTTGTCTCTGCTCTGAGCCCTTCAGTCCGGGTCGCAGAGCCTCTGTCCTGTGCCAGACCTCAGTGGGACAAAGCAGGAGCTGAGCAGAGGAGCAGCAGCCCCCGGGCAGGGGAGCGGGGCTGGGGGAAGAGCATCGGTGTTGCTGCGGGGACCGGGAGGCTGGTGGGTTCCCCTCTGCCCCAGGGATGGGAGCTCGGGACGCACCCGGGGACTCGGGTAGGAGCAAGCAGTTCTGGTCCACATCGAATGACAGCACGTGTGTTTTTGCAGGGGGTTATTTCTGATGCTTGCCTATAATGATTTTGTGGGAATTTTTTTTTTTTTTTTTTTTTTTTTTTTTTGCTTCTTGGCCTTGTCCAGACTACAGAGTCTACGCGGCTGGTGGGATGGGATCTGACCTACGGCCACACAACTACCTGCAGCACTATGACATGCTCAAGGACATCTGGGTGTCGCTGGCAGCCATGCCCACACCCAGGTACGCTGCCACATCCTTCCTGCGAGGCACCAAGATCTACGTGCTGGGTAAGCAGCAGTCCTGCCTCCTCTTCCTCAGGCAGCAGCTCCTTTGATCTAAGCACTGAGAAGCCTCCCTGGAAGAGGCTTTTGGGAATGCTCTCCTCCATCCTGCTTTCTCACCAAGCTTGCAGCTGCAGGCTTTGAGTGGGGCTGGTGTTGGGTTTGGATTCACAGCTCCATAGGAAGCATCCATGAGAGCCCCTGTGCCCTTGAACGCTCCAGGAGCTCGCAGGTCTCGCAGCAGCTCTGTGCCGGGTGAGTGGCCTCCCCTGTCCCAGCCCCATCCGTGGCTGCTGGCAGCTGAGGGTACAGCTGGTCTTTGCCAACTCAATTTGCAGTCCTGCGACTGCGCTGAAAGCCCTTGGACTCAACTAGTGAGTAAAAATGCCTCTGTGCATTTTGTATCATCAAAGTACCACGCAGCTTCACAAAGCGGGGGTCTGCCTTTGGCTGAGGAAGGACCTGCTGTAGCTGGGAAATGCTGGACCAAGCCTTTTGCAGGGGATGATTTTCATTAGTTTTCCCTTACAGAAAGGGAAACTAAGGCAAAAAATGTTGCTGTTAGCTCATGGCCAAATCTCATATCGGGATCAAAACGCAGGGCTCCTGATTGCTCAAACCGCCAGACAGCCTTGGCTTTCTTTAGGGGTTACCAGAAAAGACTCTTTGATCTATTTTGCAGTTTGCTTGCTGCTGGCGAACAGTTTGTGGGCCCAGTAGCGAGCACAGGCTCTGCCTTCAAAGGCACGCTGGGCATCTGAGCTGAGAATAGCTGTATTCATCTGCATCTGATGGATGGAAGAATAATACACATCTTTGGCGGTGGTAGCAGCAGCTGCTCTGGCTCTTCTGCTCCGTCAGGAGCTCAGCAGCAGGGCCGGGGCTTGCTGGATCGCACTGACACTGAACTCATCTGAATTGCAAAGGCTCCCTGAGCGCTGATCCCTGCTCTGCTGTGAATTTGTCTTGATTAAACCGGTGCATACTAAACACCTTCCTGTGCCAGAGACCCGCTGCTGCCAGGGTGGAGGGAAGCGGCGGGTGTAATGCACTGAAAAATGAAGCATTTGCATGTCGTGAACTTGCAGTTAAAGGAGAGGGAGTGCAAGGGTGAGAAGTTACCTGGCTGAGCAGGCCCTCATCCAGGTGACTTGAGACTTGGGGACGTCATATCAGCTGGCAGCTCGCTCTCAGCCTGCCCTAGGAGGTTATTCTGGCTCCTGCTGCCGTCAGCTTGGTACCAATAGCCAAGCTGACTCTTTTCTTTCCATCTCCCCTGCCCCAGGTGGGAGGCAGTCCAAGTACGCTATCAATGCCTTCGAGGTCTTTGACACAGAGACCAGGTCGTGGACCAAGTTTCCCAACATCCCCAACAAAAGGGCCTTCTCCAGCTTCGTGCCCACAGAAGACAAACTCTTCAGTCTCGGGGGCCTGCGGCAGGGACGGCTCTACCGGCAGCCCAAGTTCATGAGGACCATGGACATATTTGACATGGAACAAGGTGGGGGCTGTCCCAGCTCTGTCCTTTCCAGAGGAGCAGGGTGTGCTTTGGGGCTTTGCTGTCCTTGCAGAGCACAGAGCTCTTGTCTGCTCAGTCCTGGGACTGCTGGTGCCTTGAGCCCAACTTAGAGGAAGGCCTGCAGTCCAGATTAACAAGTCAAGGCAGCAGGGGGGGAAAACCATGGTCCCGAGGCGGCTGGGTTCAACAGCTCCCTCCTGACCTGGTGGTGGCAAAGCTGACCCCTGTGTCATGGGGTTTTAGTACCCCAAGGTGCAGCAGCAAAACTACACCCCTACAAGCAAGTAGGAGGTCAGAGAGGCAGAGGGTTTCCCAGGAGTGGATGCTCCTGCAATGCCCGGTCTGTCCTGTCTCTCCCAGGTGGCTGGATGAAGATGGAGCGTTCCTTCTACCTGAAGAAAAGGCGAGCAGATTTTGTGGCTGGCTACCTGAAAGGCAGAGTCATTGTGGCTGGGGGACTAGGTGAGGCACTGGGGATGGTGGTAACGCTTTAAAAGCATATATAAGTTAAGTGTTATTGTTACAGAGGGGAGAGATCCTGGCCCTGGCTGGCCTGAGGGAGCAGGGAAAACAGACCCCATAAGGGGATGGGGTCCTGAGCACAGTCATTCACCCAGAACAGACAATGGATGCTTGCCAGTGCTTCCCAGGTGACCCAGCGCCTCAATTTGTATTCCCAGGAAACCAGCCGACCGTCCTGGAGTCCACAGAGGCCTTCCACCCCAAGAAGAACAAGTGGGAGAGCCTGCCCCCCATGCCCACCCCGCGCTGCGCCTGCTCCAGCATCGTGGTCCGGAACTGCCTGCTGGCTGTCGGCGGGGTGAGCCAGGGCCTGAGCAGTGCCGTGGAGGCCCTGTGCCTCTCCGATTCCTAGCCAGGTCCTGGCTGGCAGAGGCTCCTGCCCCTCCAGCAGCGGTGCTGGTGGTGCTGGTGGTGGTGCTGGGCAGCTCCCAGCAGCGCTGAGGCTGGGGGAGCACAACCCGAGCTGCCCTGGGAGCCTGGTCGCTAAACCCAACCTTGCTCTGAGCCAGGGCTGCTGCTCCTCTCCCTGCTGGGCCCAGCCCCATGGAGCAAAGGAGCACTTTGGCCAGGGGTCCCCTCCCATCCCCTTCAGAGCTCGATGGAGGAAACCCAGATGAAGGAACTGCGCTGGTGTGCCATGTCTCCTGCCAGCAGGAAGGACTCTGGGGCTCAGGGCATGGGCAAGTGTCTCCCTGCAGCCAGCCTGACCCACTTCCAAAGGTGACGGGTTTGGAGGTATTAGGAGTATCCAGACAAGCCGGTGGTGGTTCAGGGAGAACTGTGGTGATGGTGCCCTGTCCGAGCATCCTGGGATCTAGGTGTGCTTCCCTGCACAGATCCCCTTGGCTTGCAACAAGGGAAGCTCCTAATGTGCAGCCAGATTCAGGGGATCATTCTTTTGCCTTCATAGCAAGGCTTTTCCTGCAAACCTGTAGCCGTGGACTGTCACTCTGGCAGAAGCTGCAGCGAGGGGCTGCCAGTGCTCCTGGGAGGGGTTGAATGCCCAAGGGACCATTTTGACTAAAGGGAAGGACCTTACTTTTGGCACAGGTCTTGCCTTTGCTGGGTTTCATGCAGAGGTGGCCTCAACCTACAATGTTCCAAACCGGTTTTTAGCTCCTTTAATGATTTGGGATCATGGGATAGTTTGGGTTGGAAGGGACCTTAGAGACCACTTAGTCCCACCCCCCTGCCCCGGGCAGGGCCCCCTTCCCCCAGCCCAGGGGGCTCCCAGCCCCGTCCAGCCTGGCCTTGAACCCTTCCAGGGAGGGGGCAGCCACAGCTGCTCTGGGCACCCTGGGCCAGCGCCTCACCCCCCGCACAGGGAACAATTTCTGCCTTAGATCTCATCTACATCTGCCCTCTGCCAGTTTAAAACCATCACCCCTCGTCCTATCCCTGCACTCCCTGATCTTCTCTTCAGCCCTGGGAGAAAGCAAAACTGAGCCCTGCCTCGGGGGCTGCACCCAGGGCTCTCACCCTGGGGCTGGGCAGCCACTTTGGCCACAAGCCCCCCAGCCACTGAGCCACCTCCTTGGTTTCGTTCTTCCCAGTCAGTTTGGGGGAGGCCTGTCCCAACCCTCAGGTTACACTTCTAGCTTGTAGCAGTTGCACCATTAAAAGTTGTCTTCAGAAAAGCCCTCAGAGAAGCCGGGTCTGTGCTAAGGGCTGCAGCAGGGTTATGTTTGTATGAAAAGGGGGGGGGGCGGGGGGGGGGGGGGCTTCCCATGCTTTGGGCGCTGCCTCATCACTTGCTCCTTTCCGAGGTGTCCCACCCCTCTTTAGGGAAGGGGAGGGGGTCCCGGTGGCAGCCCCTCCGAGCTGCTCGGGAGGGTGCGGGGGCAGCTGCGGGGCCCCGCCGCCGCGGAGCACCGAGGACACCGTGCGGCGGCCGCGGCAACGGCAGGGCCGGCCCGGGGTGGTGATTACCGGGGGTCCCCCCCTCCCCTTGCCGCTCCGTTTGAAGCTCAGCCCTCTCAGCTCCTCCGAATCCCCTCCGTCTAGCTGGCCAAGGGCGGCGGAGCTCGGCTGAAAGGGGGGAAGCACCGGCCCCGCAGCTCACAACCCGCTCGCTTCCGAGCGCGGAATAAGGCAGAACCGTGCCTGTCCCCATCCCCCGGCGTGTGCCCAACCCCGGCCCTGTTGCTTTGTTCGTTTAGGCACCTTGTTTCGGAAGGTTGTACGAGTGCAAATACCCGACTGCAGCAAGGAGCTCTACCCCCGGTGCAGCTCGGCTGGGGTGGAGGAGCAGCCCCCAGTGATGCTGGCTTGTGCTCCAGGCCCCCGGTGACAGCACCGAGCCCAAGTGAGACAATCTTGACATAGTGCAGCTGGGGAGAGCTCTGGGGGGAGATCTGCTGAGGGGGTGAGGCTGCAGGGGCACCAGGGCCAGGCATTTCTGTCTAACGGGCATCCCTGGATGATTAAAGGTCTTCTGAGTCTATCAGAATTGAGGGAAGGTGCGAAGAGCACCCGTCTCTGCATGTGAAGCCTTGAGGGTGCTGCCTCCTGACCCCAGAAGGCTCATAAAACACCCCTTTGAACTGTAAGAATTGGAGGAGGCTTGGAGGGAGTGGGAGCCTTCTCCTCTTCTAGAACAAGCCCCGTGTCTCCCAGCACAGCAGATCTTCATTTCAGCCGCCCCTGCACAGCTGAGAGTGTCTAGCTATTAATGAAGTGTTTTCCTTTGTCCTCAAGGAACCTTTCCCACACACAGCACAGCCTGATGCTCCTCTGCTCTTGCTTTCTCATTAGCCCTGAGCCCCGTTCATTGCAGCGAGGCCATGCTGGTCGAGGCTCAGGGTTTGGTGCTGCTGCACTGGCTTTGTTAAACTGGAGCAAGGGGAGGAGGAATCCGCTCCCTTTGTCTGGCTGCAGCACAGCTGGAGGCTGATCCTTTGCTTTCTCCCTCCAGAAAGGCTGAAGAGAGTGACAGACAAAGCAGCGTCATGGGAATAAACCTGCTCTAGGGCTTAATGAGGAGATGTCGGGGTCCAGGGACAAGGCGGGGGGGGGACGGGACGGTCAGTAATCAAGGCGGGGGATGTGCCAAGCATTTAGAGAGGGAGAGAAAGAGGAGCTCTGAGTCGCAGCATAGCAAGAAGCAGATGTGGGTCAGCTGCCTTTGTAGTGAAACTCAAGCTCTGGGCACCAAACAGGATCCCTGGTACGTCCCCAGAGTTGCTGTGTCCCCAGCCAGCGGCAGGTCACTGCAGCGCTGGGGGTGCTTTTCCCCATGCTGGTGCTGTGCAGAGCCAAGTTTTTACAAAAGCTTGAAACCTAGATGTTATTTGGACTTTTCCAAGTGTAGTTCTCACCCTGAGCAGCTCTCCCGGGAGTTTGTTTCCATGTGTATCCCAATTTCAGGGCCTGGGGGGCTTCCCGAGCAGCCGTGAGCTTTTGCTGTGACCCCCAGTGTGCTCTGCAGCCTGTCTGCTGGCTTGTCCCCAAAATCTGCCAGGAAAGGCAGCTGCTAAGACTTCAGACACTTCCAGCACGCCTCCGCTGCACCGTGCTTCCAGATAACACCCACTCGGAGACCTCTGTACCTGAAGAATTGAAGCACTTTCCCTAGTAATAATGTTGTTTGCTTTTTACCAGCAGATCATAAACGGCTTAGCGATCACAGAGAGGTAACCAGGCAGCAGGAAAGGTGAGAAGTGTCATACCCATAATTATGTGGTCAGTGGCAAAAGCTAGGATTAGAGGGTAGGTCTGATCCGTCGTGCGCTGGGCTCTGCCTGTGGGAGCCCACCGCCTCGGTACGGCCCCTCTGATTTGGCTTTTGGTGGCTGGAGTTCGGCCTGGTCCCTGCTGGGGCTAAGGGACATCCCAGGCTCTGCCAGTGCCTGATCCCCACTGAAGGAACCTGGCTGTGTTTTCAAACTAATAATCTTTAATTATTTCAAGAAAAAGTTTCAAACTTTTAAGCATGCTTTTGAGGTGTTTTGCTGGGCAGCAGAGTAGCCCAAGGTGGGGCTGGAGGAGCTCTGCTAATTAATCATAGAATAAAAGATTTAATGAGATTACTGCAGAGGCCAGGGAAAATCAACCCATAATTCAAAACACAGAGTATGTTACAGTCTCCTCCCCTGGAACAGGCTATTTGAGTGTTCCCCTCAGCTGTCCACGTACGTAGTATGATGACCCTAAGCAAAAGCAGCCTGATTGCAGGGACTCAGAGGTAAGAATGTGTCCCATCTGCAGCACTTGCACTGCACCCCAAAAATTCTCTTCCTGACCCCCAACCCCTCCTGGGCTTCCTCACTGTTGCTGGCCTTCTCTGGGGGCTCATCCATGGATCCCTTCTGGACCAAGGGCATCTCTCTCATGGGGATGATGGGTGCCCAGCCTGCAGCAGCGAGCTGTTAGGCAGCACCACGTTATTTAAAGTCACTTCCAGGATCTTCAAAGACTGGAAGGGGATAATGTGGGACTCCAGCTACAGTCACCTTGCCGGCCACCCCGTCTCCTTCGAGAACCAGCAGCCCTTCTCTGGCTCCTCTTAGCTCGTGGGAAAACCCTTCTAGTGGGTTAAGATTCCCTGCAGGAGCAGGAGAAATCCTCCAAGTTTTCCCATTACCTCTATGGGTTTGGTGGTGGCAGTCACTAGTCCCAGCATGCTGGCAGACATGAGCTGGAGGACTGAGTGTCTCCATCGATGGTTCTCACAGCTGCACCCTTGAATCCTGCCATTCTCTGTGTTTGTTCCTTCTGCTGTGGGAAATAGCAGACTGCAGGAGATAACCTGCTTTTGTTTGAAACAAAAGGGCTGTGCCTGCCCTCCAGGTGATGGAGATGTGACCGTGAGCCAAGTCTGGGGAGCAGGGAGGTGAATCAGATGCACCCTGACTGTGTGTGGAGGGTTGTTTGTTTTTAAGCAGTGCTGCGCTTGTTTGGGCTGAGCGGTGCTGGATGGGGTCCCATTCTCCTCCCAGTCCTCTGAACGGCACAAGGCACCCCTGGGCTGAGCCCAGGCTGGACCAGCACCTCCCAGCAGGCATCCTGCTGCAGCCGGGGGCCTGCCCTGCCCAGGCAGTGGTGGTGGCCCACGCTCATGGGAGGGCAGGCTGGCTCCAAAATGCCATTTTGGGTTGTGTAGAGATCCTGGCTTAATAGCATAAGGATCCAGCAAATAACTTGATGTGAAAAGGATGTTGTGCATCTCCTCCAGCATTTTGTTCTCATGAACAGGCATCGTCGCTGAGTCCCAATATCGTTCAGTAGCTACGACAGAGTTGAATTCTGCTCTCGGCTCCCCCAGGCAGATAGTCTCTAAGGCTGCTGCACAGTGTCAGACAAGGAAGAGTCTGTGGGGTTGAATCCTGCCCTCGCTCGCACTGCTGCAGCTCCCTGAGCTCCTCAGCGAATCTCTAAGCATTACATAGACGCAGAGTTTCTTTCCCCAGATGCGTATTGCCTGTGCTTTTCAGCAGACGATGCAAAGCGCTTCCATCTTTGAAACTGATACTTGATGGATCTCATTGTGCCTGGAGGGACAAGGCAAAGCCTCAGCAGGGAGGTTGAGCCCAAGGATCAAACCAGCCCCGTGGAATGGGGCCTTTGATGGGAATTGCCAGCCGTGGCGGGTGAGCTTTGGCAGCTGCGTGGGGAGGGCGGCCACTTCTCGGCGTGAGGGGTGGTGACAAACCCCTCTCTTCCCCGGAATGGTTTGGCTGTTCAGCCTCGAGCATGGCACAGGGGTACCCTGAGCTGCAAGGAGAAAGGGGATGTGTGTGCCCGTGGGCATCCACACCCAGATGCCCAGAGGGGAAAGTCATGTGTGTTCGTGTAGCCGGACGTCATGCAGACACCTTGCACCGCCAGTGCACGCGTGAGCTGGCACATATGTCCGTGGGGCCAGGTTCACGTATGACAGCACACGGGGCTGTGTGTACCTCCCCGGTGTAAAGGCTGCAGCTGTGCTGTGCTCCTGGGTGACGTGAGCCAACAAAATTGCCGCCGTGGTGAGCCGGTCAGGGAGCTGGCAGCTTGCAGGCTCACCCCGCGGGCTGGGTTTGTCCCGTGTTATGAGAGCACATACCTGTCAGCCGCTGTCATCCCCGGCAGGTACTGCTGTCTGAGCCCTCTGCGACAAGCAGAGCTGCTTC